AGATATATATATATATATATATAAATTTCTACTAAGGCAGATTACAACCGTTTTATTTGTTTATTTTATTTTGTCACTCTGCCTATGCAGCTTTATTTTATATAATAATATATACATGTACTTGATAAAAATCAGGTTTCGCAAAGAGTCTAGTACTGTTAAGTATAATAAACAAAAGTTAGGCCCTACATGTAAAAAGCCTCAATTATGTTTTAAAAGGATAGTTAGAAATAAAGTTGCCACAAGCATATTTTTGCCTAACTCATTTACATTACAAAACAAACAAACTAAGTCGCTGAAACATGGGCCTGTTGACATTAAACCTGAATAAAAGTAGCCTAAAAAATGTGTAATTATCTCTTCAGGTGAAGTCTATGGTTATATTATACCTCGCGTCAAGTGAATTGTTTGCTCATAGGATATTGCAGAGTTGAACATCTTGCAACAATCAATAATATTTTATTGTTACTGTTAGCTAATATAGGTCTATCATGTGTTTTCTTGTTTTATATTTTTTTTCCATATTTCAAATATATTAATTTCGGGCCAACAGACTTTCGGACCAATGACCTTTCAGACCAAAGGACCTTCGGAGCAATGCACTGACCCCCTCTAGACAGTGATTCAGTTTCAGTTCACTTTTTGGCAATCCTGTCCGGCTAGTTGAGTGTTTTTCGCTCTCTGTTTTTTGTGTTTGTCAATTTTAACGTTCTTAATAAATGAAATTAAATTAAATGAAAAGGCTGCTGAAATTACCTGCTTTACTAATCATTAAAATCTTTCATAGCAATAGTTGTCATATGATAAGTTTTACTGTGTTTCAGAAAGTAGTGCATTTGCAATACCTTATATCTGTAATGTACCGTATTGAAGTCCATGGTCTTGCATACTGCTTAATAAAATATAGTAAAATGATTATGAGAGAAATATTATTGCTATTGTATTTTCACTTCCGTTTGGTTCTGGTTGTGTTGTGTGGCACTTTAATAGCTAACCATAGTAATACCATCAATCATTCAAACTTCAAAAACATTATATTCACTGTAATTTTTTCTTTCCAAAGTCATCTGGCCTTTATGAATACAAGACATTTGGTGTGCTTGAGGGCATCTCTCCAGATATCTGTGCCAAAGTTTATACTGATCTTGAATATCGAAAAGAATGGGATAAATATGCAAAAGGTAAAAACTCATTTGTATTCGCATACAATTTTATCATTCTGCTAAAAAAATTGTCTTGCCTGTCTGTCCAATCCAGGTTAGGATTTATGTAGCAAAATTTTAATTCCATAAAATACTTGGTCTTTTGAAAATATCAGTTTCAAGATTTAAATAATAAATTTAATTTTAGCCAAAAAGCATAGTTGATGGGCTGTGTAGTAGGTACATGCTATAATGTACATAAGCCTTAGGGGCAAAACATTTCCAAAGTGCTTTATTTTTTGTATTGCTATATTTGTGAAAATTTTTATATTGTTATTAGTGACATATATATTTTATATTAAGTTAATATTTTGCTGAATTTACCAAGTACTGTATCTTTTTGATTTTTGCAGAATTATATGAATTTAAGGAAGGAGAAGTTACTGGGATTTACTGGAATGTAAATTTTCCATTCCCAATGTATAACAGAGATGTATCCTTCAATTCACTAATACAAAGAAATAAATAACAAGCATTTATGATATAAAGAAAGATGGAACCTGTGTACATTTTTTTTTAAATTTTGCACAAATATTATTTTTATGTGGAAGAATTTGATTCAGTGGTAATGCTTTTGTCTTCCAACCTAAGTTTGTGGGTTCCAGGCACATTACTTGTATCTACTTCACCCAGGACTATAAGTGGGCACCTTGTAGGAAAGATATGAATGTCCTGGAATGAGCTGGTGTTGAGCAAACTGCTCAACAATAAGGAAAGAATGTGTCTGGTGTCATGAGGTCGTTTTAATATGTGCTGCAAAATGTACCCAATTTGTTATGTCTTTAATTTTGCTGCAATTTATTTTAAGTACTGTAGAAATATAGACCCTGAAATTTAGATTGAAGAATAGTAGAATAGCAACTAAACAGTCTTTTTGCAATGAAAACATTTTTAGGACTCAATTCTAAAATGCAGAATATTTTAATATAAACAAAATGTATTGGAATTTTCTTAAATTTCTCACAGTATGTATTTGTTCGAGAGACAAAAGAGTTTGACCTGGATGGACGACACATTTGGGTGGTGCTAGGCAAAAGCGCCCCTTTTGAGAGTGTGCGGGAGAGGTCACGGACAATACGAGTTGATGACTTCCAACAATCCATGTGTATGACATCCGATGGAGGTTCAGGAACAAAAGGTGGGTGGAGCAATGGATAACAAAGTTGTCAATCATTTTTTTTTCAATGTGTTTTTGATGAAAATGCTGGTATGCAATTTGTGAATATAAAAAATCTGAGAGTGCCATCATGTGATTGTTTTTTGATGAAACATTTAGGTTTAAACATAGAAAGTAACATGCATCTAGTAGTTTCATTTACATTATTTATGTCAAAGTTCATGGTATATAACGAATCTAACCTGTCAGAGACACAGCAGGCATTCATGAACAATGCCTAACTTGCCCTGTGATGTCTCAATATGTTTTTTATATTTTTTTAGCACTTATGCATTATTATGATAACCCAAAGGGGATGTTACCAACTTGGTTGATCAATTGGGCAGCTAAGGTATGTGTTTATTTTATTGAAACTGTCATATTTCTTGATAAAAAATATTTATTTTTGCTTACAATTATATGATGTAAAGCATTTGGAATTTATTTATATGACAGTAAAATTGTATTTCTTTTTTTATCTTGGCGTAGATGCATTTGTTACGATATTTTGCTAAAACAGTTTCCACCTCCTCTTACTTAAGAGCTTTGAAAATATAATTGACTAAATGTTAGTTATAATATAAAAAGGTCTTGCCTATGTTACATTGTTCCTAAATTATCAACGTGAAGGCAGCCACTTACTGAAAAAATATTATTAATAATGGTAATGATTATAATATGAATTTCTATAGTAATATAGTATTATGAATAATACACAAATCACTTACCCATTAAGAAGTTATTTGAATATATATTTTAATTGATTATTTTATATTCTCAAAAAATGTGTTTTCAATTTTTTGCAGACTGGTGTTCCAAATTTTATATCCGATATGAAGAAGCATTGTGAGAAATACCCTGAATACTTAGAAAAGAAATCAAAGAAAGAAAAGAAATCAACAGGCACTGCATAAATAATGTGAAATTACCTCAGGAATCCAAAGGCAATAAGTGTAGTGTGATAAAATAATAAGTTACACCATAGTTCCTTCTGTATAAGCCAGGCGTCCCTAGTTAGGGGAAGCCACTTCTGGGAGATGTGGTTTAATAAGCACAATCTTAACACATCAATTTGTATTTTTCTTTGCATGGTGATACCCATGGCCTGGGGGGCTCACTCTTAAATATTTCTATACAGGTAGGTGCTGCATTTATGGGGTATATTTTCGAGGACTTGGTAGCAGAAGTGTGGGAAATATGGGGGGAGTTGCAGCATTTGTGGGGTGTACTTGTAGGACTTTATGTAGCAAAAATGTGGGAAATAACCGGGGTAAAATTGGTAGATAAAGTCTCTGGCCTATCCTGTGACATAGTGCCATGATTTCCCGCACGATGTTAGCGGGAATTTCAAGCTAGACCGGATGCTAATCCGGTAAGTCCCTTGCTAAGCCTACCTGTGGTACAGCCACAAGATCGCGACCGGACAAAACACTTTTTGCCATCGGAAACCAGTCAATATTGCACCCTCTCGGGGCACTATTTAGTGGTCTTTTTCCTGTCGTCTTTTAGAGCACAGTGCGATTATGGTAAATGGTAGTTCAAATCCATAAGAATTTTCAGTAAAATAGGTAGCGCAAGTGTCTTGAAGTGGCTGTGGCACCCCTAGTTTGGTTGGTATGCAAGTGAACTATGCAGTAGTGAAAACATGCAAACATCATGAATTTGCAGGAGAAATGTTAGTTTCTTTATTTTTGCTCTGCGAAACCATGCCTATCAGAGACTCCCATGACTCACAGCAACTTGGGAGCGCCCTCTATAAATTCACTCCCGGTATAATCGCACCTCATAACGTTGGTGTAATTTTCATGCAAAATTCTCCTCTTTGCTCCAAGCCAACAACTAATTTCAGAGGTTTATAAGTATGAAATAAAATGAATTGAAATTTAGCATCAAAATGCTAGCTAGTCCTGGGTGACTCCTGGGTGACCTTGGGCTTCCACGTCCTTTAAGCTGAACTCTGTCCTGGCTAAGCCCATCAAACACCTTAACTTGAATATTCAAGGGGCAAGCTTATACTTAAGGAACTAAAGGTTGGTAGTGATGACCAAATTGTAGTGATGGAATCAGAATAGGATTTGTTTTTTGTTTTGTTTTTGGTTTTTGTTTATCATATCATTGGCATTGTTTCTTTTCACATTTCTATATTTTGTTTGGATATCTTTGAAATCTGTTAGTTAAATTTTACTTATCAGAGCAATTATAGAAAATAAGAAATGGCTTACTTGCTAATAAGTACATAAGTAGGTTTTGAATTAACTAAAAGCAAGTTGTAGAATTCATTTGGGTTCAATTTATGGCGAATTTTTAATTTATTATTGACGAATATAAACGATTGTAGATACGAGCAATATCCTTTTCTTTTCTGTTGTCAATAATTTAAACTTTGTAATTACTGTTTTACATTCCAGGGTTTTAAGTTCAGTGTTGTACAATTTAGTTGTGGCCATAATCAAAGTACTTTTCCACATGAGTATACGTCGTGATTAGATTTGGCTACAAGCTACTAGCTGCAACATCACTGGTATGCAACATAACTTGTAATGCAGTATTGGAAAGTGCATACACACATTATATTGTGGTCAGTTTATTAGATCATTATAATTTGTGTTATAATCATCATCATAAATATTTTCATCAAATAATAATATTGTGGGCAAGTCATATGGCTGAGTGGTAAGGCAGGCACACCACTACAGCTTTAACAACAGCGCTATTTCAAAACCTTTCTCGCCCTGTCTGTGTTTGGGAGAATCAGTGCCTCTCAGATAAGGACTTAAAACTGGAGGATGTCCAGCGTACACATCTGACTCGTATACACTTGTAATATTCTGGTATATGATTCAGCTGCAGTCATGGAATGATGTGAACATGGAGCTGTTAAGTGCCACTACAAATGTACTGTAGATGTGGACCATGTGACGCCCAGTGGCAGATTCACAGGGGGAGCTAAGTCGGCCTGGACCCCCTAAATTTTTCAAAATTATTTAAAAAAATAGAGAAAAAAATATAATTCCAGCCATCTAGAGGTGCCATATTCATAGTTTTTCTTTTCCTTAGGCCCAATCGTGGTGGGGCTGAGCATTGGTGTACCCACTATATCTGAAAGTCCCTCTCTGGGCCCCCTCTATTTCAAATTCCTGGATCCGCCAATGACACCCATACATAATTCAGCATAATGGCTCTGTGAGTTGTGAATTATTCTTGAACCTATATTAGCATCATTGTTATTGTTACAATAATTATCATACAGGTATTGTTGGTTTCAGTCAATGGTACTTAACAAACTAAAAGCAATGAGATAATCATCAGTTCATATCTAAACTTTCAGGTATTCATGTTTTGAAAAAAAATTATGTGCAATATATTTGTAAATTAATAAAATATTTTTTATAGATTTCTATCAATAACAATTTTTGGATTCTTAACTGTAAGGTGCTTTCAATACGTTTTAGAGCTGCTAACAAGTGTTCTTAACGAATAAGTATCCAAGTGTTATATTCCTAATACTGTATTAATGTAATTCTTGCCATTGTCTTATAAAAATAATATAAATATATATATATATGTGTGTTTATATATACATACATATACTGTATACAAAGCTATACATTCTATTAAGGGGTATGGATAACGTTTAATTTTTACACATATTATTTTGGTTACCCTGGCTACCTTTACTTATGGATGAACTTGCACAAATAGTAATAGTGAGAAACTACTGTGATAATGACTATGATAATGATTAATCAGATATTAAAGTGTAAACAGTGGTAAGGAAAACTGATGATGGTATTGATATTGATAATTTAGATTTTGACAATGATATGTTAATAATAGCAACAGCAAATCCTTGATGACAGTGATTAAAGTTTGAATTCCACTTACTCACTCATTGAAGCTTGCTTGATATACCAAACGCTTATCTCAATAAAATCATGTTAAGAAAGATGTAATGATGAGATGATTACTGTAATAACTGAAAGTACAGTATATCACTATGCATAATTTGTGATGTAAAATAGCACAGATGATTAAAGGTGTATTGTTCCAGAGATGCTTCTTCGTATCATACTTCTTGTGTGTATTCTGGTCGAATAATTCATTAATAATGTATTCAATCTTGGTAAGAAAAACCACTTACAGGCTAATTCAAATGGATCAAATAAGCCCAAGCTACAAACTTTTAAGGAATTATGGATAAAAAAAAATCCGGTTTTGCTAAATATCAAGTGGCATAAATTCGTAAGAAAGTATAATATTTATGAAAGAAATTTAAGAAAGTATTTCAGTACTTGGAGTATGTATTATACTTATCAGATTAATCAGTGGGCCTTTCAGCATAAATTCATTATCCACATATGTAAGGATGTTTTTCAAAATAAAATAGAAATTGGTAGTATTGGGCCAAAAAAAAAATTGTTTGCCCTCCTCCACCCACCCCTAACTCACTGGAAAAATAGGGGGTGGAAAAAACTTAAAAAGAAGCTTTTTACTTTACAAATAAAAAAGATTGCGAGTGAATTTATCTTTATTTTTTGCCAGATGCCCTACAAACTAGTCTAAAGTTGTCTGATGTAAGATATTGCCATTCTAGGCCCTTTTTATGCCATCTGAGTATCTTTAAAAAAAAAAAAAGCTTTCTTTCACCCACCCATTTTATCATTTAAAAAAAGAAGGGCAAACATCATTTCAAATAAAAACAAATACAATATAGCTCATCACAGAAAAAAAAAATATCAATACAGTATGTAAATGGTCACCTTCCAATAAAGAGTAGGGGATCTGCCTAATTCACCATCAGAAGGTCCCACTGGTTCAGAGGTCACTTCCAGGAGATCTGATTAAATGAGCTTCCTTAACACATTTAATTTTATTTTGTTGCACATTGTGATACCCATCAGCACTGACTTCTGACAATTGATAATAAAGCAGTGAAAGCATGCACATATTATGAATTTGCATGAGATGGGATATATTTTGGGTGATTCTTGCTTGCTTGCGGGAGGCTGTCACGATTTTCCGAGATTTGCGAGAGCCTTTCGATCCCGGTCTTCATACTTGCTGTTGGTTATGCTTGGTGTACATCATCCAATCCTACTTGAGCATTATTGACACTTTTTGGGGAAAGTATACAGTATAGCGATTTTATGGAAACCCAGCTTAACTGGTAGCAGGTATACTAGTTAAGCCAGTATATTATATATTTTATTTTTCAGTGCTTAGAAACAACTTTTATAATTTATAATAAGAGACAAGAAACTAAAATATTTCCCATAAGACACTTTTATATCTTACATTGTGCAATATTTTAACATGGGAAATCAGTTTAATATGAACAGTTCATAAATAGTACAACTTTAAACCTTTTTAAAATTGTCTCACTTTTAAAAGTTAAATTAATTTACTAACAAAATCACAGTATAATTAAATGTTATGCCATCCCATTAAACATTATCTCTTTCATCTTGTCACAATCTGGGGGCGCTGTTGTGAATAGAGTTCCGACGAATATATGCATGCCCCAGTCACGGTGTCGTATACACTTGCAGCAGCCTAAGTCTTCAATGTCAAAACCTAACTTTGTGAAGCGTTCATCTGTTTCAAATAGCGTCGAGTTGGGATTACTTGCACCAACAAACTGAAATTGACAACAAAATGTATACACTTGATTATTCAATCATTTATATGAACGTGGTTATAATGTTGTAAATTTTTTTAAATTACAGTTGAACTTGCCAAAATCGAATCCAACATGGCATGGAAAAATTGTTCAACTTAAATAAAATTTGACTTGCAGTTCATTAATTACTGGAAAATACAACAATTTGGCATGTAAATAAGATTGACTTGGAAATTATTTGAGTTTTGGTAAAGCAAACTCAGGCAAGTTTACTGTAATTGTTTTTTGTTTTTTAAATAAGAAAGTGAATTATTTCATAATTTACTTAGGTAAATGGGGTCACAGTATAAAAGCATGGAGGTATTATTGAGGAGATCACTCGAAAAAGCTACGCGCACGCAGCGCTATGCAAATAAACCAAGATCAAAGCTGCTGCAGCACGTGAAGAAAGTTTATGCGATGCCTTTGAAGTCCCATGTGTTCCCCGCCATCAAATTTTCAGCAGGCATAGTTTACCAAAAAATTGAACATGGCGAAATGGAGAGCACCTTCTTTTCTCGATGCGCACTACATACAGTCAATTACTATGGCTGCGCAATCGTTTCCAGTTTGAAGCTGATACATTTATCTCCCATAAAATATCAAACATATTAATATTTTCCACCAAAAAAAGTTTCGAATTTAATGGAACATTTACATGACCTTCAAAAGTATAGTATATTTCAACTTCAATTTCCATAAATTGGCCAAAATTCGCTAATTCTAATTTTAACAGATATTAATTAAATGATTGAGGATTATAATAAACTAAGTCATTTTAGGGTTAACGAGGGTTAACTATTCGAAAAATCAATCCAAAATCTGAATATTTTTCAGTTTTACGCTGACTTAGCTTTATAGTCGAACTAATCAATCTTTAGACAAAATTATAATGAACACAGAATTAATTTTAACAAAATATTTTACGGAATCCGTTCCTGAAATATACAAATAATAACATACCAAAAGTCCAAAAAAATCTAATCAGGGGAACACTGTTCATTATAAAGATATTTAATGGGTTAAAATCAAACGCTTTATTGCACAACTGCTCTGCTGGAAGCGTATAAATGCA